GTCTGCTAAGGAGAGGTTTCCACACCCTTCTAAGGAATGCTTCGTTCTCCTCTCCAACCAATGGGGGAGTTCACAAATACTGATAAACTACTAAGTGTGCTTACCATCAAAGTTTCCATCAACAATTCGGCTTGCATCATTGTAATCATCCATGGATATGATAGCAATACTAGGCATAAAGGTCATAATCTTTTCTGTAAACACAGTTTTTCCAGCCCCAGAAGGACCAGCTAAACCAACCAATATTATTCCATCATTCTTCTGAGCTAGAAGCTGACTGGCACGAATAACTATGAAGAACCCTTTCTCAAACGACAAAGGATCTTGAATTGAAACTATTTCATAGCGGTCAGAATCCTTCCTCTTAAACAACCTCACTTGGTCTTTTAATAGACCAGCTCGTTTCTGATGAGATTCACAACTAGAATGATCTTGAGCCATTAAGCTGGGGTGCTACTTCCCTCACAAAAATGCAGCCAGATAATAGAACTGTGAATGATCAAGAGAACAAACAACACTTTATGCGCCAGAAAATGACTGAATTATAGATCAAAGTACAGGCAATACTTCTTTCCATCTTTTCTTCAGGGGGAATCTTGAGCATTATTGATCAAAGTACATTTTCAAACCACAGAAAAATGATTGAAACAAAATTCATTCCAGAAATAAATGAAGCTGCTAAATACAAGGCATGAAAGGATCCACAATGATGAAGGCAGCTCATTCGACTTATCTTCTCGGTTGTCATTGAATTTCATAATTCTAAGTTAAGTTAAAAGCATTACAACCCAGCTACTTCTCCAGAACCACAATAAAACGAAACAGAGCAATCGAGTAAAATCCAACCAAACGCTTTCAAGAGTGACAATTAAACAAAAATCACAAAGTTTCCCCTCTCCAATGACGAAACTACGTCGAAATCAATCATAATAAGAACAACCCAGATAGCAGATTAACAAAAATCAAAAGGAAAAAAAAGAAACGAACGTCCCAGAAAACGCAATCACACAAGAACAAAACCAATCATAACGACTCTGCTTTAACTTACAACCACTCGTTCGACTACGACAGAATGTACCCAAGTAAAGGACACAATAAAACGATTGGAAAACAAATCAGCATCCATGAATCACGACAACGAAGCAAAACAAAACCGGAATTTAGTAAAAAAAAAAAAAAAGGAAAGCAAGATGAGTGCGAACCCAATATCCATCTCTCGGCATTTGATTCGAAAAGCACTCACCGGTTTAAGAGTGAGTTTCGTGATCACAATGGGTCACAAGTGAGCACAGCCGCAGTTCATAAGGCTGGTGGCAAATTTCATCCTGGAAGGAAGGAAGGTCGGTTATATAATGTTTGGTTTTGGGCTCCAGTTTCTTGGTATAGAACAGAAGCAGAAGCTCGAATTTGTGGGATTTTTTTGATACCCTTTTCCCGTTTCTTCTTCTATTTGAGTTTTGGGAACTGCGAATTCCAGAGAATCTGCAGACGCTCTTCAAGGAAAAGCAAGAAAAAAGGACTCTCAGATGAGAGGAAAACTGGGAGAACGGAGAAGGGTATTTATTATTATTTTTTATTTTTTTATTTTTTTATTTAATATTTTGGATAACTTTAATTCAATCAATTTAAAAAAAAAAAAAGATTTACCATTTATTTTTCTCAATTAATTAATGCTATCCATTCTCGTAAATATCTAGAAAAAGAAAATCAATCAGATCGGGATCCACATTCCGCCTTTTAAAATATATTTATTTATTTTCGTTTCATTAAATTTCATTTTTTTAAATAAAAAAATATATTATCGTTCCAAGAAAATAGGAGTTTTGAGAGGTTCTTGTTGAGATATTTCGTATTCGAAATTTTGGCTTTTTTTTTTTTTTTTTTAATTTTTTAAATTCGGTTAATTTTGATAAGATATATTTAAATTTGATATAATTGAAATATAAATAAATTAAATTTTGATATAAATTTTCTCTCATTTATTTTTTGTTTTTTTTTTTTATTTTTCAAAACCCAAAATAAAAAATATTGACTTCATAGCCACTTAAAAGCTGTAATCCCAACACTTTTTATCCATTGACCACGGCACATAATTTTGGAGTAAGGACTGATTTGGAAAGGTGAAATAATGGAAGGACCCTAACTGAAATTACCTAACCACTCCCTCCACGTAAAACATTTCCTCTCTATTTTCATCTTTTATGGGGGTATTTTGGTCTTTTTGTCTAAGTTTGAAAACGAGTGTACGATCACTGTGATTTCAAAGTGGGTCGAATTTCAATTCTTCTAGTCGTAAACAATGGGAAATCTGTGACTTTGATAATGTCGATAATATATACCTAATTAGTAAAGTTTTATTTAGGTTGACGATTAAATATTTATCGACAAAAATGTATTTTTGATCTCTGAAATTCGAGATTCAAACTTGGACCAAATAGATATCAACCCGGAATTAACGTGGATCATAAATGCATGCCTGTGGTTTGGGATAAAGGGTGGGTATGAGTTAGAATCATAGCTAGAGTCGAGGGTGGGTAATGTATTCCCTTATATTCGTTTCTATAACTAATTTAGAAACAAACATTAGGTATAGTAATCAAATTCAGAATTTTTTGTTTTTTTTTCTTTATCCAAATTATAGTTAATAAGATACCCAACCTGATGAGCCAATAGACCTAAGTCTATCCAACCCGCACTATATGCAAACAAACAGAAATGGAAGCCCTAGTCAAGCAAGAGGAGCTAATCGACTACCCAAAGAGTGAATAAATAAGATCTCGATTAGGGCTTACAGTCGATCACTGTTGTGAATCAAACAATATAAATATGGGTGTCCACTCTCGATCCAAAGTACACAACCTAATACTCAACTTGACACCACTTCGTTCTTGGTATCATTTCATCCGATCAAGTCAGGCAAAACACTATACCAGTGCAAAATCTTTACTTAACAGATCATCCAAATCATCGGTAGCTAATCAAACTTGCCTTCCTGTCCCAATTGAAGCACCGATATTTACACGTAATCAAAATTATTATCGGTCAATTTACATTAATAGTTCAAAAAGAAAAAGAAAAAAAACTATTATCCATCGTTTAATTCAACCTTTTTAGGGTTTGTTTACCGAACAAAATATTTTATTAACCAAAGAACCATTCCTTTACTTTACTTTAGTGAATTAATAATTAGTGTTTCTAAGAGAATATACTCTCAACTACTCATAACCACATTATGTTTTTTTGAATTTAATTCTTTTTCCAAATTAAAGTATTTATTTATTTCAAATTGTTTGGTTTCTTTTGACTACAATTCTTTAAATCATATCTAATGTAATTTTCAAATATGAAATTAAATCAAAATATTTGCAGCATGGACTAAAATACCCCCACTTCCATTTTTTTTTTCTTTTTTTTAATTCATCAATTTCAAAACGTTGATTTTAATATCATTCCAATTTAATGAAAGTCAAACATCATCCACCTTCATATATTTACTAAACTTTGACTTTCTTCATGTTTAAATACTATTTTAATTTATATATTTGTAAATATTTATTTCCATTCTTTTATTTTTATTTTAATCGAAAGTAATTCAGTAAAAATGTAGAATTAGAGTAATATAGTTATTTATTTACTGACCACAAGTAAAAATTTGAAAAATATTTAATTAAAAAAAACTCTAATATGTTGTATTGATCTTATCATGGTCAAAATAGAAGTGTGGTCAATCATCCATGCAAAATTAAATATTATGGATAAAGTGTTCAATTTGAGTTGTTTAAAAAAAATATTAAAAATGTGGAAAAAATTTAAAATATTTGCATTAAAAATTAATTAATTATTTATTTATTATTTTTTGTCTTTATTGAAATTAATCTGTAAAAACGGTTGAGTGTTTCCCTCCTACAATCGTTGGAAAACGCAACCAATAGAATTGAAAAATAATAATAAAGTAATTAAAGATTGCATGATATATTTTTTTTAATAATTTAGTTTAATTGTTTTTTTAATAATTAAAATGAATAAAAATTTGAAAATAAATAAAAACAAATATTATCTTATACAAATTACTGTATTTCAAATATTCTCCTGGAATTTAAAATAAATATCTTAAGAATTGAGAGTTTAGTAAATTTAAAATATTTGAAATTAATTAAAATCTGTCATAAGTCTTTATTTTTTTAAATGGAAAATACTAAATCTGGAGATTATATGGATGGAAGATTTTTTTTGGCCGTTTGATATTAACACTAATTAAATTTAAATCTTTTTTATTTTTTAGAAGAGAATAATTAGCATATCAAATTGAAATCCAAGGGATCAAATTTCATAATATGCATAAGTATTATAACTTTATTTTTTTAAAAAAAATCAATTTGATACAGAAATAAAAACTTTCAATTATATCTAATTTTTTAAAATATTATATCTAATTTTTTAAAATATTATATCTAATTTTTAAAAAATCTAATATTTCTTTTATTAGGGTATATATAAGTTTGGTTTGATAAATGCTTCAGATGAACATTAAGGTTGGAGCCTGATTAACTCGAATAGAGTTTATAATCCAACCTAACTCAACCATTTATTTTAGCTTAAGTTGAGGTGTGAGGTTGTTATTTTCTTTAATTATTAAAAAATTCTACTTATTCATTTATATTAAAAACTAAAATCTCATCAAATTCAAAATCTCATAAAGTTCGAAGATTAACCAACTTTTATGATTTGGTTTGAGTAGTGCGGATTAGTAGAGTAACATGAACACCATTATTTATTGTCATGATTTTATTAATAGTCTCGGTTACTTAAAACTTATTTATCATCTAGCCTATTGCGTCTCGGTGAAATCCCACATTGGTTAGAGAGAGGTTGGAGAGGCAAACGAAACATTCCTTTTAAAACCGTGAGGCTAACGACGATACGTAACGGGTCAAAACGGACAAAACCTACCCATCATAAAATCGTGAGCTAAAAAGCATACATTGAAATTTCCGTGTGTCTCATGTGTTGATAAACCTGCAATTTTTCCTAACTTCCCCACTCAAAAAGCTATCAGAGTTGGTGATATTTCCCAATTTCACCATGGAATCAGAGAATTGCTGAAAGAAAGCAAGTGGGTCAACGGCATATTTCTTCACCAGCGCCCTGGTTTCCATGCCCAGAAGGCTGGAATACAATTCCTGATCTGAATTCAAAACCCCTTCTCCTCTCATCAACATCTGGAAATAGGAGTTATCAAACACCTCTGGCGTCACATTGTCCATTCCTGTTATGTTCTTCTCTGCATCTTTCCCAATTGGAGGACATATAGACCTCAACTTTTCGATATACATCTTCGAAATCGGGTTGTTAGCATCCGAAGTCGCTTCGAAATCCCCATAAATCCTTTCCCTGAAATTCTTGCACCTCGCCATTCCAATCGTGTGCGCTCCTGAAAAACATTACAAGCTCAAAAATGTAAAGATATGGATATTTGAACCTCCGACTTCTCAAGAGATCATTAGTAATACCTGATAGAGCTACCATGTCAGTTACGGAGAGGCCCTGATAAAGAAACTTGGAGATGATGCTCATAAGGCCCTCATTGGCAGAGGGAAGATTTTGGTTTGCAAGTTCATAGCTTGCAGTTGTGGAATCCTTTCTTCCAAGAGGGACCTCCCAGTAAGGGCCGCCCACCTGCAAAACGAACAATCCCATCATTAGCAATATAGCTTTTAAGAACAGTGGGTGATATGTATGGTTCTAAGAACAAATACCAGAATCACTGCATCCCTGGCTGCAATAGTGAGTATATCAGCACAAGAAACAATCCCAGGACATTCTGATTCAAGGCTGTTCTTTATCCTATCCATCATTCTATAGCCTTTGAGGGAGTGTATGTTGGTGGAAGCCTTTTTTTCACCCTGTAGTGTTATAGTGTCGTCCAGCAGAATTGACCCATCACAACCCTACTTCAAATCATAACAATTAGTTCAACATCTCACCTATGTTTTCAATTACATAAAAAAAAAAACTGTAACAGCCCAAGTTTACCGCTAGCAAGTTCACCGCTAGCAGATATTGTCTGCTGTAGAGAGGTTTCAATACCCTTATAAAGAATGTTTCATTCTCCTCTCCAATAATTGATATGAGATCTCACAATCCACTCCGCTTCAGGGCTCAACATTCTTGCTGGCACACCATGCAATGACCACCCCCTTTGGAGTCCAACATTTTCGTTGACACACCGTCTGGTGTCTGGCTCTTATACCATTTGTAACAGTTCAATCCTAAGATTATGGACTTCCCCTAAAGGTTTTTAAAACGCGTCTGCAAGGGAGAGGTTCCACACCCTTCTAATGAATATTTCGTTCCCCTCTCCAACCAATATATGATCTCACGAATAAAATATGACACCTGAACTAAGAGAAGAAATACATAGACCAGTAAAAAAGAAGACTTGGTTACCCTACTGGGTGTGGAATCCTTTCCCATTGGTAAGAATCTTTCCTGAAGTTCCAAACAACAAAATCTAACACTCTCGTTTGATTACTATTTGGTTTTGCATCCTTGTTCGTTTCGTTGCTTACTTTCTAACATGTTTTCAAAATCAAATGTAAATGTGAAAAGCAGAAAACCAAGGGGAAACAAGAAACAATTTGAAACGCAAAGTATGTGTGGTATAAAGAGAAAAAAGATGTTTTGGAGCAATATAAAAGAGAAGTGAATGAGGAGAGGAACCTGGACAAAGCAGTCGTGAAAGTGCAATCGGACAGCAAAAGCTGCATTACGTGGGTCAGAAAGCACTGCACACTCCATCTCTTTCCGCACAACCTGCAACACATTAGGACAAGTTTTGGCATAGTAATCCAACGTCAAAGAGGGGTCACCTGTGTCATACAAGCTCTGGCTCAGAGCAAAGAAAGCAGAAAGCAGCAGCAGCATCAGCCCATAAACGAGGCTCGGAGAGGAATCAATGGCCATGCTTTTGAGCTACTTTCTTTTGTCAGATTGGCAATGGCATCAAGTTTTATAGATGAAGGAAGCAGTTTTGGAGGGACATTTGTTGAGGTCAAGAGAGGATGCAACAACCAATATCGGTCTGGTTGTTGGGTCTTCCTTCCCAAACAAAACCCAAAAAGAAACACAGAATTAGAGCAAGTCACCAATACCAAACGGATGGCCACCTTTTCACACACTAAATGGTGTACTAAACTTAAGCCTACTTAAGAATCTAAATCACATTCAAAAAACTTCATCACCCTCTAACCCATTCTACTCAACTTAATTTTGCCCCAATGCATGAGAGTTATTATGCACAATTCACCCACTTTTTACCTGTTTTTTGCTTTAAAATATACTATGGTTCCAACCGTTTTCACTTTTTTGATGAATATTTGCCTTTTGCAATAAAAAATCTTGGAATTTTTATTATTTTTTCAACCCTTATTTCAAGAATGAACTTCAAAAAAGTTACAAAAAAGGTAGTTTTGAAGGGGGATCAGATCTTTGCTTCAACCACTTTTGAAAGAGGAAGGTTTTATTTGCAATCAAGCGGTGATTATTGTTTCCACGTCCAAAATGAGAGGCCCACTTATCCGTCGAAGAAAAGCAAGAAGGATGTTCATGTCCAAATGACTGCTCCGGATGTTACATACGAAGCCTCCATTACCACCACAAGTTCCAACCCTCTCTCTGAACACACTTTAATGGCGTCCCTTCCACCAATCAAAGCTTCTAGTTCAGATAACCTTCACTTCGCTTTACTTCTCTCATTGCTTCGTCCTCTTCTTCTCTAACTTACCTTCATCAAACAATGCTACTCCCTGCAATCAACTCCGCCCCTTTCTCCTGCTCTGTTCGTCTCACTAACCCCATCTCCGTCTATTCACGGAATGTCGCCGTCGCCGTCTCCGCCCAAGCGTCGCCGGCGAATTCTAGCTACAGCGTCTCTGACAAGGATCTCGAATCCCGAGGCTTCATGCTTCACCGCACCGTCTCCGACCTCAACCTCGACCACCTGAACTCGGTCTTCGCCGCCGTCGGATTCCCCAAGCGCGATCCGGACAAGATCAGGATTGCGTTGGAGAATACGGACGCCTTGCTCTGGATCCAATACAGTAAAACGCAGCGGCCGGTGGCGTTCGCTAGGGCTACAGGCGATGGCGTGTTCAACGCGATTATATGGGATGTGGTGGTGGATCCTTCCTTCCAAGGGCTTGGTTTGGGGAAGGCTGTGATCGAGAGGATTATCGAGGACCTACTGCGTAAAGGCATTTCCAATATCGCATTGTATTCAGAGCCTCGTGTGCTAGGGTTCTACAGGCCTCTAGGTTTCGTCGCGGATCCGGACGGGATCCGTGGAATGGTGTACTCGAGAAAGAAAAAGAAAAACTAAATACAGAATTGCTCAAATTCAATTGCATCTGATTATTTTCTCGCAATATCCTTCCCTTTCATCTACCAGAGTTTTAATTAACAAAGCATTCGATCTCTTCCCGGAGAAATTCGAAAAACGAATAAAGCAACAAACAAGCAATCAAGCCAACTTTCCATCTTCGTTACCATTGAAATCAAAATTACTCCCCAAGATTCAGGTAAAACAGACGGCGATAAGAATCGGAACACGATTCCGATTAAAATCGAGAAGAGCAAAAGTACCTCCGATCGAACACTGGATTAGGAAACACGAGCAATAAGTCCAGGAAATTCCTAAACCAATGACGAGAGAAGTTTCGGCGAGGAACAAATCCAATAGCCTTGAATGCTCAAACCGATCACCATCTTCTTCTTCAAATCCCTATTCTGCGTGTAAGAGTGAAAACAAAAAGCCAAAGCCCATCGCCGTTAACCAGAGGCACCAAAATTACGACACGCCTCAGTGCCCTGCGATGCAAATCACTGTACTACGAATCGACTTCTTCCTCCACCCTCTGTATTTCTGTCTCACGTATATATACATCTCTTGGATTTAGTTCTTTGACAACTTTTTTAATCAATAACAATTTTTAAAAAAAAAAACCAAGAATTTAAATAAAATTAAATTTGATTGACGTACAAATTGAACATTAAATAATTCAATAAAAACTTTTTAAAAAATAGCATAAACATTCCTAAAATTCAGGATTAAAATTTTAATAGTTATCTAAATTTAAATTTACGATGCAACTAATAAATTAAAAAACAGTTCCTTTTTCTGTCCTTTATTTATTTTTTAATTAGAATTTATTATATACCATGCATTTACACTAATATAAATTTTATTTTTTTTCCTTCAACAAAATTCTACAAGTTGGGCTCATATTGGACCGCAACTCTATAATCTCTGCACCGGCCCATAAGATAAACGCTTCGAAGGAAGAGAATCATAAATAAACTGTTATTTTATATACTAAAATTATGAGTATAGAAGTTTTTATTATTATTTATTTTTATTTATTTATTAATATAGTTAATATTTTATATACTAAAATTATGAGTTGTGGCATTTTGGAGACATGTGTGAATTGATGATTGTGCTAGATGGATGTAGATTTATCATTGTGTGGCACCTCTAATGGTTGCCAATTGAACAACAACTCCTCCCCTTTATAGCATTTCAACGAGTATACTTTTACATATATTCATTTTGTTTTTTCTACGGTACGTACGTCGAAATTTACTATTTTTCTTAATATGCAATCTAAACTACTTAGAATTGCAGAGAAAATTAACCCTAATGATAAGAAATCACTATTTTTTATGATCAAATATCTACGTGCCAGAGAACTTCTTTGATATTTGAATCACTTTACAATCAAGATTCTAAACATGCAATCTAAAATACATGTAATACTAAAAAAAACTCAAGCACAAATACTTTTTTTTTACTGCATTTTTTCAATCTACTATGACAAAGATAACATACATGACTTTATATAGTCTCAACGATATTTTTAACTGAGACATTCAAGAGTTGTAATTTTCATATTTTATAACCATAATTAGTCATCATATAAATGTAACATTAAATTAAATAAAAAAATCTTGAATACATTAATGAAATACTATAATTTTAAATTATCATCCACCAAAAATTTGTAACCGTCTAAAAATAAATAAAACTTGATTCTTGACATAAATTGAACTTTATAGTGCATGATTGATACCGGTTCATATATGCTTTTGTATTGTAATTCTAAATTTACGATCCTTCTTGTTTTCATTATTTATAATATATATATATATATATCTGTAGTATAAAAATATGGTGTTTGAAGTTTACAAACCTACGTGTACGCACAAAAAGGGAAAAATAAATAAGATGTCCTCAGCCACAAACGGTAGTGGATTAAAACCTTAACCAACATTGGTGGGAAAGCAAAGTGAAAAACCAAACATGCTTTTTAAGGTAGATTTGTATTATATTACTTATAAGTACCAAACTCAAACACCATATCCACTCATTTATATTATATTTGTTAATGTTATTTAACATTAACTTTAAAACACCATGCGTACACACGTGCACAACCGTCTCGTCTCGTTACATTATCGAAAGAGACTACCACAATATATCTCTCTATTAATAAACGTCGAATACATTTGAAATTAGTATTTATTAATAATAATTTTCATATATTAAAAAAAAAAAATTAATAAAGTAGTCCGTACGGTCTTTGAAGAAGAAAAATGGGAAAGTCAAGGGAGGAGAAAGGAGAGGATAAGATGAAGTCAAAGGAGGAGGGTGGAGGGAGCTGTTTAAGTGGAGACAGTGGACGTAGTTACAGGGCTTTGTTCGTACGTTTTGTTTGTGGCTGCCACTGCCACTCGACCCTAAACCCAACCTCCTTCAAATCATAAGCTTCAACCAATTTCACCTTCAACCACACCACCACCCTTCCCTTTTATATGGTTGAAATGCGATCATCCATCACATATCATATGATTCTTGACATATGTGAGGGTCGTTGTCCGTTAATAAGTGGTATCACTGAGTTATGTCCTTGACTTAGTCGTGTCGGTGTGCATCGAGCATATTGAGATCTCACATTACTTCTTTCTCCCTAATAGATACGTTTTTAAACCGTGAAGCTAATAACAATGCGTAGCAAACTAAAGTGGACAATATTTAGTAGCGGTGGACTTGAAGTTTGTTGTATTAACAACTTTTATAAATGATTGGTTTAATAAGTGTGTGAAAGTGTAGTATAAAAATGGAGTTTGATTCGAGTCAAAGTCAATGATGAAGATTGTCCTTTATTTTCCTCAATTATTGGCACTGAATAGGGGAGTGAGAGAGGAGCCGTCGGCTGGGTGCTGCCCACAGGGCACCGCGCTTATTGGGGTTCACTTCATGCCACGCCCGCCCTCTTTGTATATCTTTTCATATGGGCATTGCCTTAAAAAGGGGAAAATAAAAAGTGGGTGCATTGATCATAGACCTCTGCAGTCATATTTTGTGGTACAATTGACTATTTCAAGATTCACATGCCCCTTCTATTCAATCTACACATATTATTAATTAATAACTTCAACCCCCAAAATATGATTAATTAATCCAAAAACTTCGTTATTCTATCACCTTCTCACTGTTAAACGTAAAATAGATGTATATACTAAGATAATCTAAGATTTACTAGTTTGTTACCAAATATATGATTCGAAGGGTTTGTTACTAAATCTATGATTTCATGGTTTGTTATCAAATCATAGATTTGGAATGTAATCTTCATTGTACATATCTATAAATACATGAGGTCGTGACGCATATAGGTTATTGTGCCATTCAATCTAACACTCACTTGTGTTTAGAGCATTTTTTTAACTAATTAAATTATTAAAAAAAAAGAAAATAGGAGTTGTGAAATATCTAACAAAAGTGTTTTGGCATGTGAACTTCTCTCTCTCACGTATGCGTTTTAAAATCGTGAGGTTTAAGACGATGTGTGACGAGTCAAAATGAACAATATTTGTTAGCGGTCCCTAACAGACGCAATTTAAAACTGTGAGGTTTATGACAATACGTAACCGGCCAAAACAGACAATATCTACTAGTGGTCCCTAAGAGACGTGTTTTTAAATTGTGAGGTTGATGATGATACGTAATGGACCAAAACGGACAATATTTGTTAACGATGAGTTTTAGCTGTTACGTGAGTTGGTTTCAATTATGTCCTTCAACTTTGAAAATTGTTACACGAATTTTAAAATTGTGAGGCTGACGGTGACATGTAAAGTTGAAAATTGAAATTTATTTTCGAACAACACATAAAACCATTTGTCTCGAAAATTTTGTATATGCTTTTTATGCGAACAAATTAAACATATTGAGAAGTAAGATAAAATTAAGGTTGAAAAAAAAAATAAATGAAAGAAAATAAAATTGACAATAAAATAGAAAATTGATTTTTTTTTTTTTTTTTTTATTTAAGATAAAATTTTACAAATATTTATTTAATTTAACATTTAACTTAATTATATATTATTTATTTTTGAAAATCTCGTACGGTTGAACGAAAATTTTTCCGTATGATCCCATTAGCGGCGGAAGGAAGCAAAGAGCAAACAATAGGTGGTGGCGGAGGAGACCAGTTTCGAGAGAAGCGGAAGCCATGGGGGCAGGTGATGGAACTGATGTTAAAGTTGAAATCCGCTTGTCTTCATTTTGTTTGTCCAAATGCAGTTCGAAGCTGATTTTCCAGTTTTTAAAAAGGAAACGAAAAGACATTCGATTAAATTACTACATCTTCATTGGGGAACTACGACCTCCAATTCAGTTCTTCTTCTTACATCTGGATTCGATGTGACACTGAACTTTAATCCTTCTCCCACGCTCTTATGCACTTCATTTTCATTGCAAGCCAAAAGGAGGAAAAGAAACTGGGTAAGTGTATGATACGAATTAAAAATTCTGTTCATCTTTCTACGAATTAAAGTATTTTAGGTGATGGATCTAATCTTGTTGTAAACTAAACTAATTTGCAAAGTGGGTTTCAGGTAGAAGAAGCGCAAAGAAGAGGAAAGATTAGATAGCAAATGGAAAGGTATGTGAATAATTTATTGTTACCAAGTACGGGAAAGCTTGAGTTAGGTGTGCTGTTTACTTAAATAATCATTTGGATAACATTGGCGCTCATGACATTTGTAGCAATCTTTCTGTTCCTTTTGGAGTTTCTCGACTTTTTGGCTTTTAGTAGGATAAATTGGTGGAGAGGAAGAAGATTGGCACGACTTTTTAACCCAATTTTTTTTTTCTTTGTTGGAAGAAGGTTTAATATTTGTTGAATGACGCAGGCAAGTGAATGAAACAAAAATGGAAAACGCAACCAGAGCCAATCAATATGAAGCCAGATTCTTGGTATGGTTATGCATATGGTTCACGGACAAGGTGTTTGATGAAATGCTTCAGAGAAATAGATGCAGCTGTGATTTAGGTAAATGGGTCCCTCCAACCCAATATTTCAGTGCTTAATGAGTCATCAGTAAGTCTAATTAAATTGGTTATCAGAACTTGAAAATGGTTGCTTGAGAATTTGCCTTTTTGTGTTTACCTTCATTGCGTCATTGGTTCTTAAGGTATTATTGGTTGCTTGAGTTTAATGCATTATGGTTCGTAGCCTAAGGAAAGTTTCTTACCTGGGATTGACTTTAACGCCATTAGTCTTAACTTTTGAATTGTTTCACGCACGGCATGATTTCTCTATCACTTATGAGCATATATGTTTATATCCACATTGAATGCATATAAAAGCACTAGAGCTGCACACTAATAGGGCCATCGCCAATAATTTGTTTAAGCCTTGTGCTCATGTAAGCTTCCTAACAACTGTAGCTTTACTTTGCTGAATTGACCCACTTTTCCAGCTTTATCATCCTATAAAACCCATCATTCCTCCTGCTCTTATTCCTTGCCTCACCATCACTAATCTGCTAGACAAAACCCCCTGAAGTCACTACCAAATATGATTCCAGGTGAAAACTCTTTTCAAATTCCTTCAAACATTGGGATGATGCAGAACAGCTTTCAGACCCTCCATCATTTCAATGGATTTTTAGGCAACCTTCCGATGTTTCATGTTCCTCATCCCGGCCACGAATTCCTTGCACAATCCTCAAGTCTTAGCTACAACTCAACATCTGATGATGCAGAGGAACAACAGAAGAGTATTATTGATGAGAGAAAGCAGAGAAGAATGATTTCTAATAGAGAATCAGCTCGTAGATCACGGATGAGAAAACAGAAGCACCTTGATGAGCTTTGGTCTCAGGTTCTTCGGCTTCGCACCGAGAACCATGAACTGATAGACAAATTGAACCATGTATCCGATAGCCATGAAAAGGTTCTTTTGGAGAATGCCAGGCTCAAGGAAGAAGCTTCTGATCTTCGTCAGATGCTCAGTGACTTGCAAATTGGCAGTCCTTATAATCCTTGCTTGAGTAACCTTGAAGATATTCCATGCAACACTGCACATCTGAGAGCTGAATCTTCATCATGCCAGTCCATCGCTAACTCTATAGACAACCTACTCCATTGAGGATAAATCTTTGAACTCTCTGATAAGAACTTCTAGTTCTTTTTATCTAGTTTTGTTATTAATCCTCAGTCTTTGCATTGAGCTTGTATGAGATCAGTAGTAGAATAAGATTATTTCAAGTTTCTACCATGGGTTGAATCCGGAGTGTTCTCAGTGCCTGTTAAAATTAGCATTCATGAAACGAATTACTCCCTGCCCGCCGCATACACATGCTGAAGCTGGAGGAGCCAAAGTACCTGAAAATGATATATTCTTATTAGATCATGAATGCCTGAATCATAAACTTCATAATTTTCCTTTTTAAACCCCACCAGCTCACATCATTAAAGTTCCACCAAGGAGAGAAATGGATAAGAAACAGGAAACAATTCAGCAGAGGAAGTAAGATTTTTGTCCAGTGAGCAAAGTGTATGGTGGAAAAACAGCAATAGGTTCTTCACAGAATGAGAGGGGCACATTAGGACAAGCCATGGTGGAGGGCGCTGCTGGTAGTGGCTCATCATTGAAATGAATACCATGAGGCCAAGCTTTTGAAAATGGTATCCACTAATACAAAATACCCTATTAGCTTGTTATCTTTTTTCTTGGAAGCTGATTTAAACAATCAAGCTTAACAGTTCATATCTTGATTATACTGTTCAATCACGCAAAAACCTCAGAGCAATGAATTTGACTCTCTATCTCTCTCTGTCTCTCTCTGTAGTTAAGGCATCAGAATTTGTTGCATAACTTTGTGTTAAACTGAACCATCTCAGGCTGCACTGTTATCAACCATTAGGAATTGTCTGAATCAGAGGTGACGTTTCAGGTGGTGGCTGAACAGTGTGATCCCTCTCTCTCTGTCCCTCTTTTTTCTTTTCTTTTTTTTAACATTGACAATTGCTGTTGCATGATCACATCACATTGGCCTCACCCTTTATGCATTTCTCAATTACAGTGTCCTGTTGCTGCCGAAGTACGATTAAACTCTTACTTTACTGTCATTCAAACAGTCATTTGCTGTCAAATTTTCTTTCCCTTTGTCTGATTTTTCAGGCTTCAGAACCAAATCTGGTGGGATTTGGATAGGGAAATCCTATATCAATCTCCTTATTCCTCCCCTCTCTACAACTTTCTCAAATGAAGGTTTTTAGCTTAGTGCTGCTATGTGGGGGTGAAACAGCAGCCAGTTCTTCTGCTAGAAGGTTGGAAATCCGATCAGATCCTAAAGCAGAATAGATCTAGTTTAGATAAGGATCACGATGATAATAATTGTTGGCATACATACAGCCTAGTTGATTATTTATTGCCTCGAAATGGAATAAATACATGTCCTCAGATTTTGCTGTGTGTATTTGTGTTTACTTTGGGAATATTTTTGTTGAGGTATGAATTTGAATTTCTTATCTATCAGTGAAGATATAATGTCTTTACAAGTTTGTGAAAGCTTCCACCAAAATTAATTTCATTCGGAACGAAACATTTTGGATCCACGCTGTGATTTAGTACCAGATGATCCTGCCATTTGTAACCGATTTTGAGATGTGGAGTCATTGTCATTTTGTATTTATTTAGAGGTAGTAGGGGTCTTTGTAAGAGATTTTGTAGCGTGGGAGCTTGAGTACACTTGTAAACATTTTGGTTATAGTAATTGGCTATCACCTATGGATATAGGTGAATTTCTTCTCTCCGATCCACGTAATCTTTGTTTGTGGATGTACAAGTACGATCAATCTTGCCACTTTTGCTACAACAATTGGATATCAAAACATTTTTGCAGTCAAATTAAATAAGTTTCAACAGCAAAATTTTACCAAAAATATAGGGACAGAAATGTCTTTTAGAAAAATTCAGTAATTAATCTGTCACGGTGTGGGATAAATAAGTATTTTGAGGACTTTTGACATTAAGATAAATTTAGTAATTAGATTAACCGCCCATTTACCGTTAGTGTAGATCATGGATATGATTACTGAGCACCGTTACCGTTTGCTCATACGCAGTTACAAAAAAGAATGTAGTGTGCCGTTAAATGACGGAGCCTGAATCGCGGCAAAATAACCCGTCCAGATATTTCACGATTGGCTATTCCACTTGTTTCACTTGATGCTTTCATGCTTTTATTCTGCCAATTAGAGATTCTTTTTTAACTTATTTTATTTTAAATTTTGATTAATTTAGCCATTTTGGAATGTAGGCTCCGAGAAATAGGCGTTTCTAATGATAAATAAGGATGGGTTTGTAATGGAAAGTATTGATAAGGACGGGGAAGCTGTATTATGCGGATACCGTTACTAACCCGCAATCCTGTTATCCTTGAAGATTGTGAATTCTCTTATCGTCGTCTCTCCCAATCAACTTCGTTATCTTCTGCTCTCTCAAAATCTCTCTCTCTCTCTCTCTCTCTCTCTCTCTCTCTCTCTCTCTCTCTCTCGGGGGATTTTCCTTCTCTCCATCAATCTCTCACAATGAAAGCTGACACTCTAAGCATACACAACCCTGCTCTTCCGCACCCAGTGAGGCCTTTCAACAGAGCTTCTTTCCCGCGCTCAAATCTCTTCTCTACTTTCGGTTTCATTCCCAAACCTTCCCGCCATCCGGGTTCCTTTCGCTTGCCTCAGACCTCCTGCTTCAAGGTCCAAACTCCAGTGATTCTGTATCATCTTTACTTTTTCCTTCCTAATTTTCTCCTTAATTTTGAGCTTTTTGGTTCCTCAGGGTGTGCGATATGACAGTCCAGTAATGGGCGCAACGGAGTTATCCGAGCTTGAAGATGTGGAACTGATGGTGGAGATGTGCATTACACATACACTGCCACCGGCTCTGACGCTTAAGCAGGGGCTGGAGAGTATCAGTGAGGCTATTGATAAGTTGAAGTTAGAATCTCCACGTTCTTCCGACGGAGTTTTCAGGTTTCAGGTGTGGCTTTGTTTGTATTTTCGACCATTGATATTTGTATTTGGAGTTCAAATCTTTGAAGGCTTAGCAGCAGATTCTTTTTTGGTTTGTACCTTGTGGAACGATAAACTAATGATGGAATTGCAGGTGGCTGTTCCCCCGAGTGAAAGAGCTCTTATGTGGTTTTGTTGTCAACCAGAGTCATCTGAAATGTATCCTATCTTTTTCCTTTCCAAGGAGAAGGACGCAACAATTAAGTCACTGTACTTGAATGATACTCGCGGTGTTTTTGGAATTGGGACTGCAATTTACTTTGCTAGCTTGTCTTCTACTTCATCAAAACAATGTACATTGAAAAGGTTCCTTTCATACTTTACCTCCAGTTTACTGGCTTAGATACTTGAATCAGCAATACTTTAAAAGGATGGTATTAGGACGCTGTATATTTTTTCTATTACAGTAGCAGTCACGGAAAAGATTATGCCTGAAAATTTGGAAAAGTGGCATGTAGATCTCTTTTTAACTGTTATATATCTTTTCAAGTCATCCAATAAGTTGATTGAAAGATTCGTGGAGAGTAGACACATAATTTAGCTTTTGTTTGGTAAATGGTTATGAAGAATTAATGTATTTTTCGATGCCAACTTGAGTATATAACTCAATCAAGCAAGACTTTTGAAACTCTTTTAGAGGTTTTAGGTTTAAATCTCTACCTTATTGAATGAAAAATTAATGTAATTGTCTGCCTCTTGTTCTTGCATCATATTTTTTCATCTCTGGTTTTTAGTTTTTGGAAGCATTAGCCTATACGGCATGTCTAAATTACTTCTAATAGTAAAATGTTTGTTGTTATGGTTTCTTTATGGGTATACAAAATGCTGTTGTATCTGATTCACTATTCAATGTCACTGAAAGCTCGGCCTACTCAAGCCTCTTCTATTACTTTTTACGAAGGTATCTCATGAATGATTCAGCTCCTATTATGGCTTATGGTTTTGTTAATGCTAATACCGGGGAGACATCTTCACTGAAGAACGAGGCTGGTCATTCATACTTTTGCGTTCCTCAAGTAAATTTTTCTGTCTGGATTTATTTAATGCCGGAATTATGCCATTGATCTGGTCATGCTGTTACACTGGTTAATTCTCTGGAGGAATATGTGCTTATAATGTCCTTGAATAATTATGGTCTTCATAGATTGAGTTGAATGAGTACGAGGGCGTTTCTGTTCTCTCTGCAACACTTGCATGGAGTGAAGCTTTCCCTTGTACATTTGAGGAAGCTCTTCATTCTTTGGGGTCATCTATCTACCAGGTATCTTGGGGTGCAGCTTTTTGTTCATGCCATATTTACCCATTTCCATTCTAGTTAAATATTGTTAGTTCGCTTCCAAGATTTTGATAACCATTATCTAATTTGTCTTTGACATGGAACCTTATAATAATCCGTGTAATTAGGAACATGAAGAGATTTAGCTTTTAGGGACCTTTTGACCTACATATTATATTGTTGATATGCTAGCTTGATAATACCAAATGATTATTTTGTGGTTTATGTGCAGATTGGTACTAATTTTCCATCTAAAGAAAACTTCCAGTACAAATATATAAGATCTTCTTTAACAGCTTCGAAACTTGTGGACGTGACACATCAGATGGTATAGATTTTAATTTTTTTCCTGATACTAACTTGATAGAACATTTTGTTTGAGTTGATGATTTTATGAGCATTTAGTTTATTAATCAGGTGTATGGATTAGTTGACAACACTTTTTTAGTTACTTGAAATATAGCTTGTTGCATTCATTAAGATGTATAGAACCAGTAGTTCTTATAATTGGATTGACTAGTCATCGAGTGGTGTGTGCTGTACTTGTTGTAGACAATTCTCAAGAGCCCATTATAGACAATATATTTTAGAATTAATTGTTGTTTTTTTTCCCATCTTTTGACTAGATTTCCTACCCTCTCTCCGTAGGGAAAAAATGATCGGCAAGAAGACTGCAGACTTTAGTATTAACTTGGACGTGTTTGGCTATCTTAACAAAGGTTAAGATTTTGGCTGATTTTTTTAAGTGGGCATTGAGATTATGTAACTATGTAAATATATGGTTTACACGGTATAGCTAATGAAAAGAACTCTGTTTCAGCGTTATGTTTGGCTATTTGGTTGGCAAAAATGAAAAGAGGAAAAACTCTTGAAGACAAACGTGTGAATATTGAACCTTTAGGGGATTGAAGTTAATTTTCATTGTTTGCCGAACAATGTGAAGAATAAAGCTTCACCTTCAGATTTTTTGCCCCCATTATGTTAGATTGGCAAATAAAATGCATTTTGTATTTCTTGCGAGGCTTGTCTATCAGTTTGTGTCTTAGTAGTTATCCTTTTTACTTATTAAATAGTTTTGTTTGTTTCCTATAAAATACTTTATATAGATTTGACCTCATCTATAATTGCACCTCATTGTGATTGACTTTAAAAAAAAAACTATATGGAGTTTTTCTTTTCCCTCAAATCACTTAAGACAAAAGAATATACTTCCCAGAAAGTTGGAAATCATATGGAGTTGTATGTTTCGATTCTCACCATTCTCATTTAAGAGTACAAATATTGTAGGGATACATGAAAGTATTTTCTGTGGCTGGCGAAAGCTTCAGGACTGGCATCATGGAAATGGTATCTTCTCTTTCTGGTAATCTTTCATCCTTCAATCATTGAATTCTTGATTTACTTTGGCAGAGTTCCAGCTATAGTTTTCAAACCAGATATTTTTTTTTTAGTTATGGACCTTACACTCAGTTTTATAGCTTGTTGTCTGCTGATCCATCTAGATTACAGAAGCAAAAGCATATGAGCAACTGATGGTTTGTACACAATTGAGAAAGATAATGCTTTGTATATTTCAAATTGTAAAATGGATTTAATAGCTCTTCCTATATCCACCTTCATAAATCAATAGTATGTATAAGTTCAGTTTATATTTCCTTGTTCACGGAACTTTGCAGTTAAGAATAACAGTAGTAAAATAATCAGTCTGTAATGAAAATCTCTACTATAGCTTTCTGGAAAAAGAGTATAAAGGGAACATGCTTAAAGTCAAACGGACATTGTTCATGCTAGTTCAACATGTCAGATGTGTTTATTGTTCAACTCTTTAATAACCTTCACAATTATTGCAGAAGGAGTCTGCACGCTCCCATCAATTCTGCATTCGGCTTTCACCAAGTGTTGCCGTTGCATGTAATATGGTGAGGTTCCAAGCTTCTAAAGTTCAGAACGGTGAAAATTATGATTAAATACGCATAAATTTCTTTTGTTGCTGACATTATCCTCGAGTTATTCACTGTTGAATGATATATCTGTAACTTCTCTTTCCAGTTATTTTTTTATGCTTGTACACTATGTACTCCTGTGCCTGCTTTTCAAAGTTTAGTGATTTTGT